GCGCCCAAGGAAGGAAGCCGAAAGATCAACCGCCCGGAACTTCGCTGTGAGAAGTGCGGGAAGGGATACAAGCATAGCAGCTGCTTGACCAAGCATTTGTTTGTGCCCATTTTCCTTTCCTCCCCTTTCCCACTCCCTGTTCCATGACTGTTGAGTGTAAAGGACTGGTATTGGCCACGGGACTCGGATAGTGCCTTTGGAGAGCTTTTGTGTTGACTTGTCTGTACCGTCAGGTGGGAGCACACTCCCGAATGGTCATATACCTCTAAGCTGTTGATTTCCAAGCACCAGCAAGTGCAGCTTCTCGAAGCCGCCTCTGTGCTGGTGGCTATGAACAACAAGCCAACGACCGGGACCACGCCTCCGGACTCGACCCACGATTTCCACAGCGATCAGGATTCGGCATCCCCAGCAGCATCAGGCTATTCGGATCAACCAGAGCGCAGCTCCGCGGACACGACCCCACCACCCCAGCTGGATACCCTCGGCAACATGACTGGGTTCCCCATGAGCTTCACCAAGAGACAGAGTACCGGAAGCGGGTTTGCGCAGTCGTACCAATCTGTGGCGTTCGGTAGCTCGGTGGCGGGTAGCGTGCCGGTTGGTTCGCCATTTGGAGGTCATTTCCGCCAGCTTAGCCTGATGAGCAACGATCAGAGGCCAACGTCGTCTGGCAGGAACGCAACCGGCAAGGAAGATCGGGACTTGGCTGCGGCGGTGGAAGGTCTTAGCTGCAGCTTTAACAGCAACGCCGGTCCCCGGTCGTTCCATCTCTCGGCCGACGCACCCCCAATGCCACCCCTCCCCAACCAATACTTGGGTCAGTCTTTGGGCGGCCCCCTTGGTAGCTTCATCAACAGCTATCCTAGTAGAGCTCCGGAAAGTTTCACCAGGGGGGAGCTCAGTAAACCTAGGGAAAGCTATACCAGAAGGGATCTGCGCCAAAGCTACCGTAGCGAGCGGGACGACGTCAAAATGGACGAAGATAGCGTCATGGACTATGACGACGAGGAAGACATGCGGTCCCGGGCAAGAAGCGACGAAGACGACGACGGTGTTTTTGGAAGGATGGAAGAATAACAAGAAGCCAAAGCAATCCGTTGTCTGTACAACAACTATGTTGCGGGAGCAAATCGGAAGCAACTCGTGGTTGGTGCAGGAAGGAAGGAAGAAACTTATGATGTTGATGAAGGATTTTCTTTTGTATATCTATATCGAAACCATGTTAATGAGGCACTTTGCTCCGCCGACGACACTTGGCACCGAAGAGTGGAGGAGCACTGTTGGTGGCGAGCCATGGCTCATGGGCTGAGAGATGCCAGAGCCAGCTGAGGCGTCGCCGGACGCAGTCAAAACTTCACGAGGTTAAAGTGAGTGTTGTGAGCGAGCGTTGAGCGAAAATGCTTGGAAATACTATCTAGTTAGCGAGCGAACAAATACCATATGAACAACTTACATAAAGTAACAAGAACAAGATAATACCAAGGCTTAACCAAAGACGAAGGGGAACTTTCCGTGATGTTTGTTTCTGACGGAGGGAGGAAAAGAGGAGGCTACACAACAGCAGAGGTTATCCGAAATGTAGTTCATGGCTGATGACTGTTTCTGGCAGTCTCCAGTGTAAGTGAGGTTGGGACTCGCTTGGGCTCAAGGTCTGTGGGAGATCGCACCCAGCTTGCGAACTGGTGGGAGTGGGAGAGTTGCTCGCGGAGGTTGTTTTGTTCTCGAAGTGAGAAAAAAGTAGGGAGAGGGCAATGATTTAAATACTTTACTTTTCCTTTCGGCGAATATCCTAGTATGGACTAGCAAAGCTCAGGTCCGTAGCAATATTTTTATGTACTGATATTGGGATGCCCGTTGTTTTGATGCAGTTGGTAGTTGATTTCCTATCCTTGCTTACGCATATTTACCCGGCGGGCAGTACAGTACTTACCTGAGGTACCTCCTCTAAACTAACCGTAACATTACAATACGTATATAATTCTTAAAAGTAGCAATTTATATAACGAAACCAGAATTCCAGTAGAGGAAGTACAAATAATATCTGTAAGGGTTCTACAAGGTATACACGCAGGTAGGCCTTGGTGAAAGTGATAATATTCGACAAAGAGAAAAAGGAAAGTCTGTGCCAGTATAGTATGGAGCTTACAGCTAAATACACAAGAGAGGTGCGGATATCAAAAGTGTTAGAACGCCAAGGTTGAAAATGTGGTTCGTGCGGCGCACCCTAGGAGTGCACCCAGTCGGAGGGCAGGCCTGGCTTACATAGAGTTCAAGCTAGGCAAATACCCCTAGGCGCCAGCCCTATAACAATATCACTGAACGAATGATTTATTTCAATATAAACGGTTATTTTATAGTAATATCACATAATTAATTTTATAGAACCGTAATATTGAAGAAAGGTAAAAAAAAAAAAAAAAGTACTAAGTTCCAAATAAACTTAACAATTAATACCTACTCAGATTTAATTACATACATTAATACATACTACTCCTAACCAAGCCTCCCCCAGTTCTATCCGCTCTAACCTTATATCTATACCCGTACCTATACCCAGCGTCTACCAAGTACCACTTAAGTACCGCTCAATACGCTTGTATAATTGTGATAAGGGCAATATTCTGGGCTTGAAACAGCAGTTCAATCTAGCTAATAAACTACTTTAGTCTCGAAGGCCTTGTTCATCCTCTCAACCTTCAGAAGAAGGCTGGAATTCGGAGTCTTTTTTGTCACAGCGACGCATTTCACCACTACGCTATAACGTTTCGTGTTTCCGTAAAAGAATATAAGTAACCGAAGCTGGCAATTCGGTCGCTCAAGTGGTCTTATATAGTTGTAATGACAGTCGAGAAGCACAATTGCAAAGCTGCTATCACAAATATAAAACTTGAGATAAATATGTGGCTGCTATCTTCATCTTTTAAAATAATACGAAATAAAATAACACTACGAGTTATATTAAAAAAGAAAAACTAATAATGATTTAAGTACTAATTGTCATGGGGCTGGCGCCCAGGGTATCTGCCTAGCTTGAACCCTATATAAGTATGACAGGCTGGGGTGCATATGCTCAGACGGCCAAACCTACAAAAGATAGGACGATGTTCTACTTACAAGGCAGAACTCGGAATGCACACTATATAGCCAATGTCAACCTGTGTGTTACGAACTTAAGCGAGTTACACGGGCCAACCAAGCTACTGAGATACAACAGCCGCAGAACGGTGCACCATAGGAGCCAGTAGGGCGCAGAACCAAAAGGGCTCACACCCCATGAGGGCTCACACCTTGAGCCAGGCTCACGCGTGAGCCAGGGCCACAAGGTGAGCCAACACCATCAGTGAGCCACCACCATCAGTGAGCCACCACCATCAGTGAGCCACCACCATCAGATAGACTTATGGGCTCAGAAGAGCATCAGGAAACAGATATCTCGCAAAGGGCGAGGAGGTATAAAGGGACGACTGGAGAACTCAGATTGTCAGATAGTTCGACAGTAGTCAATTGATCATTATCACCGAGACTAGTATCAACACGAGCATACTTGTTGTGAACTATTTAGCTTCACTGAACGTCTTCTGATAGTGTTTACCTTCAGCTATCCCACTTAGGCAGATCAGACTGCCGTTCGTCACACTGTGACAATAAGCTAGGCTTGCCCTCCGGTTAAGTGCACTCCTGGGGTACGCCGCACGAACCACACTTCTGACTTTGACATTTCTGGCACCTTCGATATCCGCACCTCTTTTGTGTATTTAACTGCAAGCTCCATGCCATACTAGCACAGACTTCTCTTTTCCTCTTTGTCAAATATTACAACTTTCATCAAAGCCTACCTGCGTGTATATTTTGTAAAACTCTTATATTAAATTTATTATTTTATCACTAGTTAAAAGTAATAGTATATCCTTTCAAGAATTATAAAATCAGAAAATCGCTTATGGGCTCTATATTACTAATATCAGTAATTTAAATAATAATAATAATGAAAACGTAAGTAAGGAAGCCATCTCTTATATATTTATTAATATTATCATAATACGTAGATCTCGAAAACAATGCACATAAATAATCGGACGAATGTAATAAATAATTAACTTTAAAGAGTAAAAGAAAGAAGAGAAAATGCAGCCTCTGGCTAGCACAATTAAATACAGAAATGAAGTAGGTCCAGAGACGGGAAGGGTGGACCCTCACAGGAATAGATGCACTCAAGCAGAAGGCATAAATCTCAGCCATGACACCGGTAGCGATTTATATAGTTAAAACATCTAACCGTAGCGATGCGACATCGTAGAAACCTTGAACCGTTCTTACAAAATAAACTGTCAATTCAAGGTTCCTCACAAATTGCGGTAATTTTACCGTTTGGTCCAAGGGGGTTGCGCAGCTCAGTGGTTTGGGCGGGCGGGCAATGAAGACTTCCTGCCATGCCTCAGCGGGCGGGCAGTGGGGTCGATTGCGGAGGTTAGGTTACCTCTAGCGCGGCAGAGCGGGAACGGGGGACCTCCGACGGTTGAATGACGGCCCTAGGCCGATAGACGTCACTGCTCCACCTGCCCATCAGCTTCTCTCCCTAGCTCTTCCAGGCAAGGCCCGAAGCTCTACACACCACTAACTTTTTTCCCCATCATCATCTCCATCTTCATCCGACGCGACTATAGTAGAGGTATTCTTGCCGTTTACACTGAAACCGCGCAAGGCTCTCTTCATTCTGTCATTTGCTTCACATATCTGCTCTCCGATATTGGAAGCTCTCTTTACATAACAACACAAATAACCAATTGCATTGGTTCCTACGAATCCCCTGCACGTCTCGGTCAACAGACGCCCCGTTAGCGAAGCTCAACAAAAACAAAAGTCCGCAAACTCGCGCGTCGCCTGCCCGCTTATCGCGTCCGACTTCCCCGCGCAGGAAACAAAAGAAGTAACCCGCGCCCAGCTCGAACATAGGCATTTATCTCGCATCGGTATCCACGACAGGCACTACATACCAGATGGCTCGACCAAAGGCTACGGCGAAGAAAGTAATGGACACGGTGGCGGCAGCGGTGGAGGACGCGGCTGGAGATGCGGTCAAGGCTGCGGACCCCGTCGCACTCGCAACCTCGATCGCCGTGCCCGCCGTAGAGGCTGCTGCTGAGGTTGCCCAGACTCAGGGAGTGCCTGAGCCTCTGAAGCGTGTGAAGCGTGCGCAACTGCCGAGTGGTGTCCGCTTTGCCCTGGTTGCCGTGCTGAGCTTTTACCTCGAGTCACTCGGGCGCTCCCTGGTGGTGGAATACACCCACGGCGAGCTGGCCAAGGTTGCTAGACCCGCCTCGTCTCTGACGCAGACGGAAGCGCTTGCGTTGGCGGGTTGGAAACTGTAAGAAACTACCTACTTACTCCCTGATCTTTATTGATCATGATGTGCGTTGAGATGGCGCGCTTCCCTTCGGCAAACAAACCCCTGTCGTAGGGCTGGGAAAAGAGACGCATGAGGTTCTTCAGCTCCATCTTACTAACGTCAATGGCATGGCAGATTTGGACTCGCCCTGGGTTGGTACGGAAACTATGACGGTTTCGACCTTGCTGCTCTGGCTATCCTTTCTCATGGTCCAATGGTGAGTTCCATCCGCTCTTTACCATCCCATCCCTATCCTGGCACGCACACCCGCACTAGACGCAGCCAAAATGACTGACATGTTTCACAGGCCTACCTGATCTCTACTTACTATGGTATCCGTGCTTCGACTGCCGGCGCCTACCTCGCTGTCGAGGTCGTATCGACCTTCTTCCCCTTCCTCCTCTTGCGCAAGCTTTCGGGCGCCCACGCAGCCGCACCGGGTATTCCCAACCGAGACATCGTTGTCGACAGGCAGATTCAGGTGCTTACCTCGATGCTCTCTGCTCTCGTCTACAGCGTCACACTGTTCTTGGCCTGCAGGACTTTCCTCCCAACCAACTTTGTGCTCTACTTTGAGGGTATCCGCACCATTGAGCCTGCCCAAGACGCCCAGCTCTTTAGCTTCAACCGCCCGCTGACGCAGATCCTCTGCCTGCTTTTCGGCGTGGCTGCGCGGACCTTAATATTTACTCCTTTCGTCGCCGCTTCGCCCACCGTCAAGGATCAGGAGGTTGCGGAGTTTGATCCGGCCACTGCCACCCTTGGACAGACCATCTACTGGAACCTTTGGGGGTACACCACCCCGACCAAGGTCTCGGTCAAGAGGACTGCCGTGGCCATGCTTTTCGCTGGTGTCGATACCTATCTGCAGGCTACCACTGTTCTCAGTGGCGTAGACTCATATGGAGCGGCTGTTTATGCAAGCGTCTGGACTCTGGCTGCCATGATCACCGGTCTTGCCTTGAGATATGTAGGAAGCGTGTAAGCGACCTCTGACTACGGTCTGGGGATGTTGGAGTTAGGCAACATTTGCTGGATATAATTCTCTTCACCTTCTGAGAATGAAGTCAGTTGTCATGTCACATGTTCTCTTGCACGGCAATCTTTTACACTTTAAAGGCGGAGATACAACCCAAAAAAAAAATATGAAACTACACAAAGGATGCATCGTCTCACCGAGCGTGATATGGTGATCTGATGCCCAGATATGCCACGTGGGTCGGCTAGGGGAGTGACCCATGTCAACCCGTGCTTGGCATCCCTGATCTTCTCGATGCTTACCAAACAAATGAATGTCTAGCAAGGCTGTAGTCGCAGTCCAAGACCAATATGGGCATCCATCGCGAAATTTTCTTTCTTTCCCAAACTCACGTTTCCTGATATCATCCTTGTTGCGGTTCAAAAACAGAAATGGGCGTTCGGCGTTGAGACTGTTCCGTGGCATGGCATGCGGTCACTACTTTCGGACTCGGCATGTCAATAAAACTGCAAGATCGTCTCAATGGTGTACCTTTGATTGGGGAGACTGGGATTGTGACACAGGCTGAGATCCAGCCAAGGCAGCTTAAGCGCGAGGCAAGGCTGTTTCAAAGCTGAAGATCTCTCAATCGGGCAACAACCAAGTTGTCTGTCTGCAAGCCATCCCATCTATGTATGCATGAAGCCAACTGCCCGGAACTGGATGGAGAAGAATCTCACAGTCGGTCGGTCGGTGTGTTCCGTTCGGCAAAGTGAATCCGTCCCCTCCTCTTCTTCTTCTTCGTTGTCCTCGAACTGTTAGGCAGTTAGCCCTGCTGCGCCGCCGCGCCATGAACCTTATTGGAACCCTACTGGCAAGGGCCGGCAAAATTGGCGAATGGCAAGCTGTTGCAACCCTCCTCTTCGATCTTTCGAGCCAGAGTGACGCCTCATTTTCTAGCGACAGTTAGAGCCGATCGAACGGAACAGGACACCGGGCCACCGTTTAGCTTAACGCGATACCCTCCCCCCTCCTCCACCGAGGGCCGTGAACGGGTAGTCGGCTGTTACATTACTACCTATGTACAGTATCGTGATGGGCGGCCTCCTCAAGGACTCCATCCGTGGGCTTCTTCTGTTGACGACGACGTCAGGACATCAAACGTGCCCACAAGGACTCCGTTCGGACGCTCGGTGGTGGCTTTGTTGGCTGCAACGTTAGAGTTGCATTTCTTAAGCGAAGAAGCGCGATCTAGCGCTACGTTAAACCTCACCCAAGCCTTCGGTCAGCGAAGGAGCAGAAAGCAAGTTCCTTTGTCTGTCTTGCCTTACCCTTGACCCCTTCCTTGTCTTGCAAAGAAAGGAATACTTACAACAACAGAAAGGAAGTTGATTGATGACATAGCGGAGTCATTGGGCGGTTTAGTGCCATAAAGGACAACAGACACACACAAAAGTCATGCGCATCTACATCAGTCCGAACCATCAAGTGAAGGCTGACATCCAATATGGCAACTTTTGACTTTGCCGTGGTTCCTTTTAGGCAAGAGTTACAGCACCGAAGAAGAAAATTTCTCTGGGCATAGGGTATCATCCATCGACGCCAAGAGACTGGGGAGAAGATGAAGCTAGTCAGACGGTCGGTTTTGAAGATATGACGAGTAAGGATGTGAAAAGGATTCGGTACACATTTCGGGCTAGGAAGACATGGATCATGGATGTGGATGAGTTATGGTTCTGATGGTGGTGGTGTTAATGCGCAAGCCTGGCTAGGACGTGGTGGCTTGATGTTACATGTCTAAGGTATGATTGTGAATCAAGAAGGCACAGCAGCAGCGATTTTTTTGATTTTTTTCAAACTATTGTTTGCTGATGTTGACATATCCGTATGGGTGCAGTAGCAGTAGTGTTGATCTGGGGTACCGAGGAGAATGACTTGCAAGTGTGGTGGTGGCTTGACGGATATCAAACCACCGCCATGTCATTGTCTGTTACTACCTAGTCTCCAGTGATGACATATCAGCCGGCCGTTGGCTCGCTCCGTTACCGTTGCGCCCATGGGGACATAGCTTCTCATATCCGTCCCAAAGAGGAAAGGGTAACGAAGAATTCCATCGGCTCTGACGGTAAGGCTCATGCCGCCGCCATATTGATACCTCTATCTCCAGGTTAGGTTTGGCAAAGCTTCGCCGGTTCGGTGTATGTAATTTACATTACTAGGTTAGAGCTCCGACAGACAGTCCTAGAACAGTTTTGAGGTGGACTATGACGCTTTCGTCCAGTTTGGAGCTTCACTTTTTCACTTTTCTTACTCCTTTCGGCTGTGGGTATTATCATCGAGCGTCTCTACATGTAAGGCTCCGGATTCTGGTCTTTGACATGGACTATATAGCTTCACTTGATTCCCCCCGTTGACATTAGAGATTGACACTCTTCGATATCACGGACTTCATCAGCAGCTTGGAGTCAACAACAACATCAACAGCAGTCATATTCTCGGGAATATCACTCATCGGAGAAACTACAAAGACAGAGCATTTTGGCAACAGGTTATGAGAGAGAGCTTGCCACGAGAGAATTATCCTACTTCTGACAGAACTCCCACTTCGTCTCCTTCATCTTTTTTCCTGCTACAGAGGCAACACCATTCTCACAAGCACCAGCAAGACCGCCAGCACCATCTGAGGCCGAACTACCGACAACAACAATGTACCAATACGAGCACATCATGACTTTCGATACCCAGGGCCAGGGAGGAGTTTACGGTAACAATGCCGCCGGGTCTTCGAACACAAACAACCAGCAACAACAAGTTGCCACAGTCAAGAGAAAGAAGAGCATCAGGTCCGATAGCTCCATCGAGTTGCGAGGACCAATGGAAGTCGACGGATCGGTCAAGTCAGGCGGAGGCGTGGCTTTCTCAGGGAACTTTGCGGTCAGGGATCGGATTGAGGCGTATGGAGATATTGATGTTGTTGGGGATCTGAGGTGCAGGTATGTTTCCATGTTTCTCTGATTTCTGTTCTTTTCTTTTCTTTTCCCGTACGAGACCGGTTATACTGACGATCGATGGTGGACTGGAAACAGTAATAAGCTCAAAGCATATGGGAATGTCAAGGTTAATGGAAGTGCGTTGTGTGTGTAAGTCACCCATCTTCCCACCATCTCATCTAGTGTTGTTCCCTACGTGTCTCCCTCTTTTGCATCAGAAGAAAACAATCTAAACGGTCAATCTCGCAAAAAACAGCGACCGGGTCAAAATATTTGGAAAACTGAAAATCACCGGCACCTTTGAGGTTCAAGGGGACTTGGAAGTGTGGGGAGCCATCACCATCAATGGGTATCTGTAAGTTCTAACTTCTGCCGTCTTAAGCTACTGAAACCATAATCTGGTCCCTGACTTCATGCTGACGGAAGTCCCAACCATAGGAAGTGCAAGACTCTGACAGCATATGCATCCATAACTACCGTCGGTGACCAATCTTGGTATCAGACCGAGCAAGGCGAGACGGTCCATGGGGCTAAGCTCATCCAGAGGACCAATTATGAGGGATAGGAAGTTCAGTTGATGATCTCCCTTCTTCTCCTTCTTTTTCCCTGGCTGCTCTCGCTCACTCCTTTTCTTTTCCCATTATTCTTTTCTCTTATTTCCTTTTCTTATTAGACACTCGAAGACTCTTCTCCTCAGACCTGGCATATCTTTTGTTGTTGTTGGTATTACCATTTCCTAGTCCATGTGCTTGATGTTTTTGTTGTGTAGTTGTCGTTCCGGCATTTTCCCCATCTTTTCGCTTTCGTTAAATTTCCCCTCATGCTTTTCTCAGCTAGACGTCCACGATGGAATAGACGCTATAGAGTGTTATCTATCTATGAGAAGGGGTTGATGGTCGTGGCGGCGTATTTGGGTTTTGGCTAGGCGAGAGTTATTCGTTTCACGACTCGCTTTTTCCAACTTCGCTCGTTCGGTGGTATGGATAGGTACACTCGCTCTCGAGGATACTATTTGTTTTTCTGATGGATTAGACTTTCTTTTCACCATGTTTTCCATCTACAATCTTTGTGTCATTACCTAGAGTGGCAGTAGGAAGTTTGATGGGTGGTCAAATGGTAGATAATACATACTGTTCTTCCAAATCCGAACGCCACTAACTGTGTCAACGCAATCATGAGAATAACGGCCGGCCGGGGAAGCTGCTGTCAATTAAGGGCTGGGGAACAACAGTTCTTTCCTTGGCTCGCTTCCCTTGGTCACTTGCGGAACCAACCAACTTTGACCCATCGGCCAACTGAAAGGAAGCCAGAACTGGGGGGGGGAGGAAGCCAACAACATGAGTTCCCAACTGACATCCCAACAAATGTGACTGCAAGCATTATAGAACCTCTTACCGTCATCAGGTCCCTACTGACATTGCGTACGAGTACCTTGTCTGAGAAGAGAAAATACATCATGAACTGCGTGTGTTGTGGATCGTGTCCTCATGCCGGGTAAGATCGTAGGAAGAATGGGGGATTAAATTATGCGTGTAGAAGATGTGCTAAGCCTATTCGGGTATTCGTTCCTGAGCTCTGCAGCTGACTGCGGGAAAGTGGGGCGCCAAGTTTCCAGCCCACGGTCCCTTCTCCACAAAGGCCGATCACTGGTAGAATCCACAGGCCCGTTTCACAAGCTCCACGCCCGACTTTCCACTTCCACTTGACCTCACGCGTCCCACTGCGAGAAACGACATCATCGCCCACTGCACTACAGCAAACGAAGGGCCATTTTTGCTGCCAACCGCCCGCATCGTGTGGGACATCCGCCCTCAACTAAGCCTCGACAACGCTGCAAGTACCAACTTATGCTCGCGGCGACTCGAACAACAATCCAAGGCGGCCATTCGGTACCAAGCGCGACGCCTAATATGAACCTGCCCGCCGATATATAGCCCCTTTCCTTATCGTCAGTCCTCCGAGCCTCACAACACTCCCCATTCAACATGTCTGCTCCCGAAGCAATCGCGCAGTCCAACGCGATGGTCGAACCCGTCTCTCCGCGTCAGGACGCGCCGCCCATCGAGCAGGCGATCCAGACCCTCGGTGCCCTCAACCCCCTCAACTCTCTCGACATGCCTGCCGACCCCGATGCCCAAGCTACCGTAACCGATTTCCTCGACTTTACCGAATACCTCCCCGCCGATATAATGCGCTCCCTCACCCTCATTGGCAAGCTCGACGAAACCCATATTAACGCGTCCACCATTGTCCACGAACTCACCAAGAAATGGTCGCAGCTACCAAACATGCCGCCCTCCGAGCGGACCAGTGCCGTTGATCTGCGCGCCGACATCTCTGAACAGCTTCAACAAGGCATGAATGCCCGTGTTTCCGCCCACGCCGAAGCTGTACGAATGGACGGTGAGGTTAAACGACACCACAGTCGCATCAACACCATTCTTGCCAAGCTGGTGACCATGTTGGAGAACTACCCGCCCCCAGAAGAGATCAAAAGCCCTGTTGCCACGTTCAAGTCACCCCAGGCAGCGGCAGAGTCCAAGGCACCCATAAGACTTGATGGTCAGAAGCGACGACATAGGGTCCCGAGAATCACAGTCCCCGGAGAAGTTCTGGCACCATACGAGCTCAACTACGAACCGTTTACCACCGACAGCGACAGCAGCTCCGAGGACGAGGATGCGGCATCTCTGTCCACCAACCGTGTAACCCCAGCACCTCAGCCACGTATTAAGGTTATGAAGGCTCCTGCCCGTCCGCCTAAAGCTGGAAAGGCGCCCAAGCCGAGAACATCCGTACCTCCGCCGCATATTCCAGGCGCCGACCAACCGCTATCCACGAGCGCCATGCTGGCACAGCTGGGTCCGCCTCCAGTGAACCCCACTATCGGCGGTCCGGACGCTCCTTGGGGTCAGCTTACACCATTCGAACTCGCCAAGCTGAGAAAGAAGATGAAGAAGAATGCAGCTTGGACCCCTTCTGTTACCATGATCGCTCGAGAACTCCAAGCTTTGGGCCGCGGTTATGAAGCCTTTAAAGCTGCACAACAAAAGGCGGAACAGGAGGGAAGGGTTTTTGAAGGAAAGATGCCTGTCCCAGTCAAGAATCCCACAACTGGAGAGATGCAGATGCCCGCGGGTGCGGTCTCGGAAGAGGCCTTGGCGGCAGATGAGGCGAACACGTATAATCGTGGCATGAAGTTGAACGAGGCCAAGAAACTCAAACGAGTCCAGTTGGCACACCAGGCTGCGATTGAGGCCGAAGAATCGGCAAAGCTTCTGGACAATGTTGCCCGGATACTAATGAATAACTCACAACCTGCCATTACCCAACCAACGCCAACCCCTACGATAGCCAACAACAGCAGACCCAAACAACCAAAGAAGCGCAAGAGGGAGTCTGTCATTGAGGCCGATGCGACAAAACCGGAATCGCGGATCAAGCGGATGAAAAACGAGACCCCTGTCCCTACTCCACAGCTAAATCTTCAACCACACCAGAGAACGGCAGTGCCTACACCTGTCCTGCATTCTACAACCCCCATCCCTCTACCCATTCATGCCCAAGATCACTCCAGTGTTGCCAAATCTAGTGCCTCAGTCGCTTCTGCAACATCTCCCGCCCCAAGCAGTATTGCCGGTAGTTCCAGTGCGGCCCCTCCAGTTCCGCCCATAAAACTACCACCCGCTGAGACCCCGATCCCGCCGCCGCTACGGTCGCCCAGAAAGTCTACAACTCCGATTCTTCCTCCTGTTAGAGAGACGAGGAAGACGCAAATGACTCGCACCCAAGAGCAGCAGCAACAACCACAACAGCAACTGCAAC